TGTGTTCTCATCACTGTGTGTTGTCATCACTGTGTTTTCTCATCACTGTGTGTTCTCATCACTGTGTGTCCTCATCACTGTGTTTTCTCATCACTTTGTGTTGTCATCAGTGCGTGTTGTCATCCCTGTGTGTTCTCATCACTGTGTGTTCTCATCACTGTGTTTTCTCATCACTGTGTTTTCTCATCACTTTGCGTTGTCATCAGTGCGTGTTGTCATCACTGTGTGTTCTCATCACTGTGTGTTGTCATCACTGTGTTTTCTCATCACTGTGTGTTCTCATCACTGTGTGTTCTCATCATTGTGTGTCCTCATCACTGTGTGTTCTCATACAACGGTGTAATGAGTCTCTGCATTTAACACATCACACCTGAGACACACCAGGTGGTGCAGTGGGTAACTGTGTAAATGCCCGGGGAGCAGTTAGGGATTGAGTGTCCTGCTCAGAGACACCATGACATGTGGGAACGGCTGGGGATCAAACCTGAGACTTTCACGTCCCGAGTCGGCTGCCCTGCCTCTGCCCCATCTCGAATGACAATAAGGAAAGCTTGACCTTGAAGGCTACAGATACAGGAGAGGAAACCAGACCTCCCTCTTCTCGGAGACCATCTCCAGGTCCTCCTGGGGGCCCCCCAGAGTGTTCCCAAACCAGAGTGGATCTATAATCCCTCCAGAGTTCTGGATTTATTCTGGGGTCTCCTTCCAGGGGGACTTGTCCTGAAAACCTCCTACAGGAGGCGTCCTGATCAGATGAACCTCCTCAGCTGACTCCTTTAGATCCAGAGGAGCAGCAGCTCTGCTCCTCCTCCTCCTCTAAGGCTGAGCCTAAACTTCAACCACCAATGAATATGTTTGAGTGTGTGACGCTGCGGGTCTCAAGTCCTGGTTTTGGTCTTTGATGGATTTAATGAACTTTTTTACATCATGTCTTTCAAATACACTTCATCCTCTTCATCATGTCCCCTCCCACACCGAGTCTTGGTTCTGGACTCACGTTGGTTCTGATCCCGTCTTGGACGTCTGGTACCCGGGGCATGGCGTCATACAGCGACGAGACGTACGTGATGATGGACTTCTCATCAGGATGAGGAACGTCCACGTCTGCACACATGGAGGTAGAAACACAGTCAGACAGTCAGTCAGACAGACAGACAGACAGACAGTCAGACAGACAGACAGACAGACAGACAGTCAGTCAGACAGTCAGACAGACAGAGAGACAGTTAGACAGACAGACAGGCAGGCAGACAGTCAGGCAGTTAGACAGACAGACAGACAGACAGAGAGGATCATCGACTTAAAGAAAGGAGAAAAGAAAAAATATTTTCTGGTTTACTTCGGCTCGTTCAGACAAACGTCAGAACCGGCGCTGCGTTCAGACGTTTGTCTGCTCAGAGGTTCTGGTTCTGCTCACCCTCGGGGTCCAGCAGTCTGGTGACGCCCAGTTCTCGTTCTGCGATGCTGAAGGCCTGCTCCAGGTTCTCCTGGTTGGTCTGACGGTAGACTTGATCCATGTCGATCCCGGTGGGCCTGCAGGCAGAACAGAACCGTTACCTTTGGATCTCTAAAGAGCTTCAGAACCGCAGAGCTCATCATCAGGCTCGACCCAATGATGAAGTGAAGGCCGGGTCGAAAACAATCCGCAACCTGAATCTGGGTCAGAAGGTGCAGCCGGGTCAGAACCTGACCATAAAAACCCTCCTAAGGCTCAGAACATCACAGCAGGTTCTGACAGTAGAACCTTCCTGAAACATCTGAACGGGTCAGAACTCTGTCTGCAGGACAGCCTGTCCCTGCTCAGCTGGACCACGGGAGGTTCTGGTCCAGACTCCCCTCGCTCTGGGAGTCCCAACCAGAGTCCAAGGAGTCCTCACGCACCCGGTCCTGTGGGTTGCTGACAGAACCGGTCCTCTGGGTCGCTGACAGAACCGGCAGTGCTGCGGTTCAGGCAGAACCTCCTCCTCAGCCAGAACATCGTAGGACCAGACAGTTTCCAGAACTTTATTTAAAAATAAATTGAAACTTTTCGGTCCAGTCAGAACTCTGGCTCGGTTCCCCTCCTCCTCCGTCCAAACCGGGTCTGACTCAGTTCTGTTAGCGACCCGGGGTTCTGCCGGGACCTGCTGAGCCTCGGCTGAGTTCACCTTCAGGGCACGTTTCTGAAGAAAAGAGCAAGATCCGCCTAAACGGTCAGAACCTCACACGTCCACTCAGAACAGATCCAGCTGGACCCGGATCACTGCTGCTCCAGGTTCTGCAGGAACCCTCAAAGATCTCTGATGTAAAGTGTTTCAGTCCCTCCTGCAGGTTTAGAACTCAAACAGAACCAGCAGCTGTTGAGTTGGGTTCATCAGAACCTCAGATGAGTTTTTATTTAGGAATATTTTTACGTTTGTCACGTTGAAAAACAGAACTCACAGATTACGGTTCTGGTTCTGTTAGCAGCCCTGAAGGTTCTGGTTCTGTTAGCAG